CCGCACTTCCCTCTCGCTGGTTTTCTGCAAACCAAACGGGCCCGAAACCAGCGCGTCCCGAGGGGCGCGCGCCGTGCGCGGCTGTAACCCCCAGCAGCCGCCCCCGGCTCCTGCACCTCTAGCACAAGCTGTTGTTTCCATAGCCTAGGCACCGCCTTGCACCCAGTGCGAGCTCTACACTCTTTTCGTCTGTGCTTCACAGCTGCTCGTTAAAAGTTTTTTTTTTTTTTTCTCCCATAAACTATCCTGTAAATCAAGCCCTGACTGGCACACTGCCTCATCCCTCCATTATCTCATTGCAGTTTCTCTCCAAATAACCTCTGTGCAAAGAAACAGCTCTGCGCAGAGAGCGCTTGCAAAGGAAGACCCTTGCTCACTGCCCTTGGTGGCCAAGCCCCCTCAACGCACAGTCTGCAGGGGATGAGAGGGAGAAAAAGTTGAGATCTGAGCAGAGAGCGAAGGGAAAAGACCAGACTAGGACCTGCTGGGTGTTCATCTCTGCTGGGCGGCTCTCCTGTCCATCTCCTCCCTCTCACGGTGAGGAGACAGATTAATGCACTGATACCACAATTTCCTCTAGGCAAGACACCAAGACAGCTGGTCAAAGAAGCCACACATGGACTGCTAAGAGAGGTTCACTCCATGACAGCTTCGTTTTGCATTATTTATTCATCATCTAGTTTACAAGGAACCAGAGAGGGCCCCACAGTCCCAAAAAGGCTGAGGAGGGACCTTTTCAAAAGAATGGGGTAATCATTAGACCAAAAGCAGTAGGGGAGAGCCTGCTTCACGCAGAACTGGAAAGGGCAAGAAAAATACAAGTATGAAGTAAAAACAAGAAAGCATAAAAGCTCCATTTTAAGTATAAGCATTATGAAAGAAAGGGACCACACGGGGTTAAAAAAAGGGGTGGGAGGGTCAGGAAATGGGCATTGCTGTGCAGCACTGCCATCCCTGTGACATCTGTGGGCCGTGCCAGGAAGGCAGCGGTGACGTGTACCCCGAGACCCAGTTCCCTCCAGCTTATTGTCACATCACGCAGGAAACGACACTGCAGGGCTTTTCGGCAACACTTTGCCCTTTGAATGTGCTCTTTGGTTACTGCCTGCTCTCCCTCAGGGCTCACTGCCCGCACCTGTTCCCAGGGTGCACAAATGCATCTTCTGTAAGCATGTAGGTACATAGCCTATACCGTAAAAAAGCTAATGCTACCCGGCTTAAGAAAAGACATACAGCTACTCCAGTGTTTGCAGGACCTGGCCCTTATTAAACAGCTTGGCTTAACGAACACTTAAAGCATGCCTCACAGGCATGGAGAATCTGGAGCCTGGTTAGTGGAGTTGTGCAACTGAAGTATGAATGTGACTCATAAGCAGTTAGTAATAAGCAGGATGACAGTGGTTGAAAGACTTAACAGTTCAAAACTGCAGAACTATAGATTTATTGGAGAGATACATGGACCAGGAGAGAGCTGAAAAGAGCATTAAAGATATATAGCACAGACTGAACACAAGGTCTGTTTATAACCAGAGCCTAAGTGCTTGTTCAATACACATGGAGTAAGCGATTAAGCAAAAGTGAATGAAAAAGACACAAACAGAAACTACTTCAGGAGAGACTGCATGGTCCTCATAGCAAGAACTGATTAAATGCTTTTAAGTGGAGTTCAGGCTGCTGGAATAAAGAAGCCCAAGAGGTACCACAGCAGGCAGGCAATCAGTTTGTGCCAGGAGTTGCACCCCAGCCTGCCTCTGAGGTGCCAGCAGTGCCCCAGGAAGGAGTCGCCGGGAAGGAGCAGTGGGCATTCCCAGAAAGACCACGGATCCGGCTGCATGCGCACAACTGCTGAGGGATGATGAGACCTTCTCCAGCGAGGCTGCGCTCTCCGTGCACTCTGGCTCTGCCACAGAGCTGCTCAGGCCTCCATACTGAGGTGGCACGTGAGGTGGGTGTAAGATACTGTCATTTCTCCAGCGTGTTCAAGGGCAGGTGACTGCAGTGAGGAGAACAGAATCATGATCCTTGTTTATTGTAAGCCTTTTTCTAGTAATTCTATTACTTGACGAGGTATTTCCCCCCTCCCTGCTATATTATCCATCACAGTCACAGGCAGAAGAGAAGATACATCCCAAGCATTTAGGATTCCTGCATTTGACCTGTGGGAAAGTTTTACACAGCATTTCAGTTTTCCAGAGAGATGCTGGCTGGCTAGTTCTGCTATGCTTATCCCTAACCTATTAATACATAACGAGTGAAACTAAAGGCAGAGTGGGTTCCCTTTGCCTCTGTGTGAAGTTTGGGACACTCTGGCTGCTTATTAGCAGCAGTTTTTCCTCCTCTGCCCCGGCTCTGACTGTGCACACAGCTGCACTGTGACATACATGTGCCAGGACAGAGTTCCCAGGCTGCAAGATGAGTGCTTTCTTGTGACAAGATTTCAGAATGCCTTACAAATTATGTGCAAAGAGTCACCTGTCCACCAAGAACTGCAGCTGATGCAGTGCAGGAGTAAGCCCCCAAGCAGAGTTATTTTTGCCTCCTGCCCTAGCCTGGTACCATCTCAGGGTACCACCATTATCTGCTGTTATTTATGCAGCAGTTTCCCAGAGGTGCTTGCAGAGGGTGGCTGCTCCCAAGGCTGTCATTTGAAAGGAGGAGAGATTCTGACATTAAAAAATTGGGGGAAGGAAACAGAGGGACTTAGTAAAATAAGGAATTTTGTGGAAAATTGTTCCTAGACTAGTTTGGATCTGTTATCAGAAAGGTTCAAATGACCCTCTGAACCGACAGCATCTAGGTTTTCCAATAAGAAACTCAAATATCCTTGTCATTCTGGTGCTTACTGTTGTTTAAGTGCAATCTACTAAAACTCTGTTCCACCCTAGCATGGTTGACAAAATTCTAATCTTCCCTGCTAAAAGAAAAAAAAAAAGAAAAAGTGAAATATCTGCTACAGTTATAGAAGGGCACACGACTAATAATTTCTCTGGCTGAAGATGCAGAGAGATTAATTCTGTAACACACAATAGTATCTAATTCAGCCATGGCACAAGGATGAAGAACAACCAGATTTCTAACTCCAGTGAGAAGGTGCACAAGGTATTATTAAATATACATCTAGTTCTAGAAATATAGACACTAGGTGACAATGTGCCCTCTCTGAACGCACTACATCAGATGTTTGGGATGCAACCCCCCTAGTTTGCTTTTCTGCTTTTTTTCGTCTTCCTTAGTGAGCCAAACTCTATCTGCTTTAAAGAGGAAAAAAACAAAACAGGATGAATGGCTCCTGTGCTGTCCCCCAAATGAGGGATTCTAACCAGCTTTTCTAAATCTCCTGTACCTACCACCAGCAGGGAAAGACAAGGGATAACATCTGGGTTCCTTCTGAGCCACATGGGCTAGAAAACAAGAAAGCCATACCCATGTTTGGGTTATCACTGAGCAATCTAAAAATTACAGGTGTTTTCTAAGATCAAATAGAGAGGATTTCGCTTCCCTAACATACTTCCTCACAAAAAAAACAAGTGGTTCTGCTAGCAGCCTGGTTGGTGCTGTGTATAGAGTAGCAACAGCCCCGGTCCCTGCAGGACCGCCTTTAGCTTATTGCTCCCTGGTCTCTGAAAGGTGGTTTTAGCAATTCAACCCCTAGGTGTTCGACAGCCAGCCAGCAGTAAGGACTGACCAGGAGCTCATTATCTTTAGCTATTCCTTTTGGTCAGGAATCCCACCCTTGTGGAGAGAAATTTCCTTTTCCCTATCAGAAAGAAATGGCACAGGGAGGAATCATGGAAAATCTTTGTAATGCTGACAGGCTGTAGTGACTCAGAATACTTTTCCTGCATGGGATATTCCCAGAGAAACCTGAGCAACAAACGGACACTCAGAACTGGAGTCTGACTAATAGCCTTATCCCAAGAGAGGAAGGACAGTGGATAAATATAGGCACTCTCTGTACTATAAGGCTGGGCAGACAGTTTCATAGCTGCAGTTTCACATTTTGCCCCCAAGATTTCAGTCACACAAAGAAACAGGCTCAAGAATAAAGGAGATGGGGCATTACAGTCAAACTAGGAAGGTGGGATCCATGCATGACCTTTCAGCACTGCAGCAAAGTCAACTCCCAACTGCTGGAGATTTTTTAGGAAAGAACACAAGTGTGGCAAGGAACAGGCAGCATTCAGACTGAAAACAGGCTATGTATAGCACCCCGGTAGGTACTGCATAGCTCCCGCAACAGGCGGTTATAAAATAACAGCACCTGTTCTATAAAGTCACCTGTGAGTCCCAGGACAACGGCTCTGAGTCCTGTATGCAGTACGAGAGGGTCAGTGCCAGGGTCTGACAGGGTAACAAAATGAATAAAGCCATTGGGGTGAATGGCTTACTGGCTCAGACTGTATCCACAAGTGGAACCGGTTAACTACAGTGTTGGAAAGTCAACACAAATTGCTCGATAAATAGAGCAGGCTGGATCCATCCCACTGATCCGAGCAGGCTTTCAACTAGGCTCTGCACTTATGAAATGGAGAGGAGATGCTGCTCTTGGAGAGACTGATCACTACCTGGAATCACCCCAAATTTAAAATAATCTCTTTATTTCTTACACAATCGAACAATAACATCATATAATTAAAACAACGTCCATGATGCCCTCCACTCCTCGTTCACAGGACACATCTTTGCCAGACACAAAAGGAAAAAGACTTCATCATTTTACAGGTAAGTGACTGCCAGAGAAGGTAGGTCCAGTTGATGCCATTAACCAATACCAGCAGAGTTCCTCCCAAGAAGCAGAGGCCTCCAGAGATCAAAGCTCTGGAGAAAAACAGGGAATGGAACAGTACAGACAATAGGTACATTGTGTCCTGATTTAGTCCCTTGATACTCCCAGCTGGGGAAAACATGCACCTTCCCGAGGCTCTGCAGGGCTGAGACCACCAGAATGAGCCTGCTCAAAAGGAGCCCAGCTTTGTGCACCAGTGCCAGCACGTGTCTCTTGTGAACTTACTGACGTGCCTTAGGTGCAGCACCCTCTCCACCTGCTGACGTCTTCCAGGTGCAGGGCAGTCTCCCTCTGCCTGTCTTCCTGAGCTGTCAGCAACCTGGAACAAGCCACACAGATCAAAACCACAGCCTGGATACTGAGCTCTCCTGAGAAAGCATCAGCCAAGATGCTATAAGATGTTGAAAAGTGACTGGCCAAAATGCTGGGCTTGTTTGAAGGTTGGATAAATAATCTACACAGAAAATAATCATGGATTTCCATGAAGAAATGACCAGGGAGAAAGATTGGACATGTGCAAGAAGGGATGACATGACCGTCAGAGCACCAGACTGGGGCTGGAGCGCTCTGTGCCTTATTTCCATGCTCCCAGACTGTTGGCAGGATGCCAGGCCGCTCGCTTCACCTGCAATAAAGCGCGTCAAAGGCATGCGCTGTGGGAGATATGATTCACCTAGCTGCTGAGTAAATCATCCCAGTTAATAAACAGCTAAGGCCTGCTGTGAAGTTAACAAAGAAGATGCAGCAGGAAGGGAAGCAGTAAGAGAAAGCAAGGGGATATTTTTGTTGTTAAATTTCAAAGAGTTTTTCTTTTCAAAAATACTTGCTTTTCTAAAACTTAAGAATCTTACAGCAAACTTCCTTCAGCCTTATAAAGTGCCTTATCTATCCCCTTAAAAATACTGCCTCCAAAATATCACATTCTGTATAATGCTTAATACACTAAAGAAGAAAAAACATTACAGGTTCATATAGATTCAAACCGAAAACGCCATCCTAAAGCCTGGGTTATTATCCAAGGCTTTTTCTGATCAAATATTCAAACTAAGCCCATTTCACTGACCTGGCCATGTGCAGCATGGGCTCCACGATGTTACAGCCAGCCATAGCACTGCACTCGTAGAAGACAGCTTTGTATTCCTGCAGAGAGCAGAGCAAGACTCCCGTCTGCTGTGGGCTCATGTGCCACCCACCAGCACCCTCAGAGTTAGCCCCTTCCCTGCCCAGCACCCCTACAGGGGTCACCTCCTTTTGCTCCAAGCAGTTGCTACCGCTGTGGCCCCTGCCGAGGGTGGGAGTACGGGGCTGTGTCCTGCTCACCCTGTCCCTCCCTGGGAACGGGAGGTGGCTGTTCCGCAGCATGGGCATCCATGAAGGGGAGAATTATTTGGGAAGAGCTATTTCCCCCAGGATACACAGACTGCTTCACCTTCATGTTACAGAGTCCAGTTCATGGGGAGAGCTCCGAGCCCTCTTCCTCCTGCCCAGCAGGCAAGGGTGAGGTACCATCAAGCATGCAAATATAAGGAGCGAGGGAGGGCTGTGCAGAGCATGCAGGAGGTGGGAAAAATCAGCTCCCCGCAGAATGCCTAAGCATCACTGTCAGGAGGCACCCAGCCCAAGGAAGAACACACTGCTCAAGGGCCAGTGTCTGCCACATGCCAGCCACCTCATGCTCCCTGGTACCCAAGGGACCTTGGCACTTGTTTGCATTGGAGAACAGCTAGGGGTAGAGGGAAGGCACCATATTGGGAAATGGCTCCGAGTTCAGAAGGGCTGCCCTGCTCACAGCCGTGGAGGCTGCAGAGCACAGTCACACCTTTGCCAGCCTCTCCCCCTCCACCTTGGGCACTCGCCGGGCCCCTTTTGGCACCGCATCCGTTTTATTTCCAAGCAGAAAGATCACAGCTCCATCCTCAATACCTTCCTGCAGAAGGAACAGAGCAAAACACTTGTGAGACTCATCCAAGGCACAGAAATATCCTGAAGTCAATCCTATTCCAGCTTATGTAAACAGGAGCTTTGCCACTGACTTCAGTGGCAACAAAGTCAAGGATCCTGAAGGAGTTGCCAAAATATTCCGTACTGCTTGCTTACAGGATCATTCCACAGGTGACTCCAGGAATTTGTGAAGGGAAGTTTAAACTATGGGAATATATTCCAAGTGCTTGGAGCGTACAGTGGGGGTGCATAGAGAGGGGAGACAGGTCTCAATTCAAATTCCTCTCTGGGAAATAAGAAACCTTAAGACATAAGTCTGCCCTACTAGGCTATTGGAAATTTAAGTTTGTACAGGATTTCTTATTGAGTTCAATATTTTTTTTAAACTTGACAATTTCACTTCAACTTTGAGTTGACACACACTACATTAAATGAGGGAAGAGAACAGTTTAGTAGTAGTTAAAAGAGAAGCTGTTACTGGTATTACACAATCTCATCTAGAAATTTCACAGCAATCAGGATCTTGGCAATCTTGCAAAACAGTCATACACGCACGCTGCAGGTTTGAGTCCAAACACACCAGAACTGTCTCTTCCCTGTGGACGGGCTGGACCCAGGAGAGCTCCTCTCCCCAGCGCAGTGCAGGGCTGATGCACCAGCTCTTACGGGACCTTGCCAATGCACCCAGGCTGTGTACAAACACACGCTGCTGTTCGGGCAGCTTCCACAGGCTTCTGTCGTAGAAACATCCCAACTCATTTAAGGCGGGGGCACCAGCTCCCTTCGGACTACAAGCACCTGGTCTAAAGCTGAGGCAATGCCCACAGCATCTAGGACCTCCCGGAGCCTCCAAGAACATCGCTCCCTGAGGGGAGCTGAGACGGAGGTGGCAGCGGTGGCAGCCTCAGAGAGCCACTGCCTTGCTCGCACCTGGACACTGCTCATCCAGTTCCGCACTGCCGTGAAGGAGCACTCAGCTGTGATGTCGTACATCACCAGGATCCCATCCGCCTTCCGGAAATATTGCTTGGTAATGCTCCGAAACCTGAGTCCAAAAGAAACCAAAGATGCTCTCAAAACCATGTCTAGTAACAGCAGGAAACAGAACAGGATTACGTATCTTTTAGTGCAGGCTCTCTGCAAGGCCAGACAGTCGCATGGAGACACCCACCCACTGGAGCTGGTGTGTGCCCAGGCTGGTACTGGATAGGACAAATCCATGGGATTTCAAGGCCCGATCTCTGAGAGGGTCTAAGCAGCCAGGACTAAGCATGATGCTGAGAAAACAGGAAGAAAAACCTTTCCAGTTCAGGAGGAAGGAAGCAGAGATGGGTCTATTTAGGTGGGATAGTACAGAGTAATTGTCTGTAAAAGGGGGGATGGGTGGGGGAAAACACGACCTTTCCCTGAAGTCTGGAAGAATCTGCAGACTAAGCTGTACCACAGTGTAAATAAATGAGGCTCGAATAATGTCTGCTCCAGTGCTGCCAAAAGAGCTATTAGGACCTCAGCACAGATACAGTCTGAATCCAAATCTGATTTCAAATCTATAAAGCAATGCCCTCATGCATAAATCCACCCATTAAATAAGACTCCCAGAAGAAATTCCCATCAGATATCTACTTTGTCCTCCACAGACTTGTATTGGGGGAATAAGCTAAAAAAAAAAAAAATCTTAAATATGTCTCGGTAGTATCATGACACAATATTACATTGCTTGCAAACAGCTGGAATTAAATGCAGCATAGGCACTGGAATCTCAACTAGAGAGCTGTGTATTTCAGCCCTGCACAGGATAATAAGCTCTGATGTGCTACTAAGAGCCAAGGAGTGGCCTTCTTGAGCTCTTTAGTGGATAGTCCTGGCACAAGTAAGGGCATGGCATTCTGGCAGTTAATGCAACTGAGAAACACGGACTGCATCTTTGGCAATCAAGGGGCCTCTGGAACTACAGGACACACCATGCACTCCAATAGAAACCTCAAATGTAGCATGAACCAGGCGCAAGGAAGTCACCAAGGACTTCTTCCCCACGTGGTGTAAGGAATCCCTCTCTCTTCCACAGGATATTTGGTTGGACACCTTCAATCAGAAGCAATTCATATTTCTCAAGAGAAAAAGTTTTTTTTTCTTCTCATGTTTTCTATTCAGGAAAGCTATTCAGCCAAGTTCCTCCTTGCAAGTATATGTTTACTGCTAAAGGTGCAGGAGCTGTCTGCTCTACCCTAAACGGCCTTCCGCAGAGAAAATATCTTGAATTTAACATCTGATACAATCTGGCCTCAGTAAAATGTCACATCTCATGTAATAACAACTCCCTCTTGCTGCTCTCCTTCAGCAGTGGAATAACTGCAGCAGTCCCTTAGAAGGAAAATCATGATTTGTTTTACATGAAGCTTGAATTTAGAAGAAAAAAGTATAGTCCCACCGGATCTGCATGGCCTAGCTAGCTGAGATAGACAACATTAATCCCAGACAGCACAGCTCGAGGTTATAATCTTCCCATGACCTCCACTGCCTGCTCAAGGCCTGGTCCTATACCATATTTAGCACAAAATACACAATACTTATTTTGCCAGGCTCTGAGGCACAGATCCCTTGAACTGCCTTTCCATCTTTAGCTCCAAAGTACATCCTAAATAAAATGCAAGTTACATTAAGGTAGCAGCAGGCCTTCCTCTCTGGTAGCGGCGGAGGATGAAGGGCATCCTTCCACTACCCTGCTCCCCACCAAGCAGCACTGGAGACAACCTCTAGTTGTGGCATGTAATTTTGAAACTAGAGGTCAGCACATGAGGATCAGAGAACAGGACACCTATCCAGAGTATTTAGTTCCATCTCAGCTGGAGAAACTGTTACACAGAGGTTTTGGTCTCGTAGATCTTCCAATAGAGGGTAAGGACAATAAAAGAACTTCAAGGACTAGAAGAACTTTGAAGCCCACTATACAGTCATTTATGGGAACACTACTTAAAGCCACAAGCGTAAGTGTCAGGAATATAAAGCCACTCTCTTGTCAGTCCTCGAAGTTGTCTTCACCAAATCCACAACTTCTTTAACTCTCTGGTGCAGACTTTTGCCTCTGGCCTAACAGTAGAAGAGATGCTGGACGCTTCAGTCCTTCTGCATCTGACAGTCTTCTCACAGACAGGATCAGGAATGTCCTTCCTGCCCCCCTCATCTTCTGTTTCCTATCCTGAGCCTGCCAATGGGGAATCTGCACAGAAATTGTTTACCTCTCTTGTCCAGCTGTATCCCAAAGCTGTAAGGCCACCTGGGTGTCATCCACCATCAGATTCTTCACCTGGTAATCAATACCTGTCAAGGAGGTAACAGTGATTGTAAGACAGGATGCAGAGAGAATAGCTTGTCATTGCAAGAGAGTACCAGTACCATTTAGTTTCAGGAAATTAGAAGATTGACTGGAAACTGAGATGAGATTACCTTCACCTTTAGGGTCAGAAACTGCCTGGATTAAACAGCGGAGGGAAAGCCTATATCCCGCTAGACATTCCCACTCCTTTTAACCAGACAGGTCAGGACCTCCTTTACTTACCAATGGTTGCATTGAGATCTGCCAAGAACCTGTCATAGCAAAAGCGGTGGATGAAGGAACTTTTCCCAACGCCGGAGTTGCCCACAAAAACAACTTTAAATATGCGATCTGGGGAACAACTGGCTGTTTCCTGTGCTTGGAGCTGTAATGGAATAAAAAGATACAGTTTTAAGAAGCCTAGCTACAGGCTGTGCTTTGATTTAGGCAACAGATGCCTTCCCTATAAACCTATGGAGCTAGCTGGGAAGAGAGGGAGGAATCCTCAAGTCCCTGGGAGCAAGTGTTTGAGGAAGAACCACTAATAACCGAGACTCACCCTGGTTTCTGTGCCAATGGGCTGTCCTCTGGGAGGCAATGGAGCATCATCTGATCCATCTGCTGTTTTTCTGCAGTCAGTATCACTCTTCAAAGCAATCTTCAGCCTCTCGGCGTCTGTTGTTGCCGACCATCTCTCCTCACCTCTGCTCTTCCCTCCAAAGGTCATGTCTTTTCCCACCTTAAACTCTGTCCCATTGCATGGGAAATATTTACAGTTCTTCCTATTGGGTTCTTCCATTGCCACATCCACAGGGAAGGTGAAGGGAAGGTCCGCAGAAGTCAGTTGTCTGTGTCAAAGTCCACAGGCACCACAAATGGGATTTGGGGATAGAAGGTGAGAGGAAGAGGTTGCAAGTGCCCAAAACAACCAGTGTGATCCACTTAGTACCAATGACATGCTTGCAGGATGTCTAGCTCACACGTACACTGCTCCCTATACTAACTATGACTAAGACACCAGCTGCACCAGCTGTGGGAAGACAGATGGCTCGAACTATGCTACGCTTACATGCGATAACATATATTTCATTAATCTTAATAAAACTTCCCACCTTCTGGATTTTTCAAGGCTTCTTTGCCTCCCGTTTCCCCCAATATAGAAAAACAGGACAAAGCACATAAAGTACACAAGTACACAGGGGCAACTGGAAGGAGACAGAAGAAAACCATCAATGAAACACCACCAACACACCTCTCCTGACTTCCAGATTAGCAAAAGGAGTTTTGAGGTGGGATTCAGGGTGAGGGCTGCCTGGGCACACTGGTGAGGCTGCGCGGACACAGTGCTGCCCTTCCTGCAGGCACGTGGCCTTGCTCCGGGATCAGCCCCTCAGTCCCCAGCACTGCTCAGTGCGAGCACAGAAAGCTGCTGGCCATCCCTCGCCCCACTTCTGTGGACCCCTGCAGCCCCCGAGAGGGATAGGTGAGCAGGGAGTGCCAATTTGTGTGCTCCTGCAGCAACACAGCTTCTAACAGGGGGGTACGTGGGGACATCTGCAGCAGCCACCCCGAGCCCTATCCTGGAGCAGCCGTATTGCTGAGGTCCCACGGCAATTTGCACACTGTTGGCTCTGCTCTGGCCTCCATCCTCACCTGACCCAAAGTCAGGGTGCTGGGAACAGAGAGACATTTGTTCTTCCAAGCTCTCAATCAGCCACACTGTGCTCTCAAAGGCAAAACCACCCGACCCGCTCCTCGGGCTGTGCTTTGGGGCATGGGGGATAGACTGCCTTTGAATGCACAGGAGCAAGCTGACACACACCATCTACCGTGGCAAAGTAAGCAGAGGAATAGTTTTCAACAGAACTGGCTAGATTAACTGTTTTAAACTTCTGGAATGGCTGTCAAGGGGCAAGGAAGTATCTTAGATCTGTTGCAGCTTTCCATCATTAAAGAAAGAAGTGGGAAGGCTTAGAACATGACAAGAAGACTTCATCCACCACAAATCTCCATTACTTTTACTGGCCACCAAACTGAGATACCAGAGAGACCGAAGCCTTCCTGTAGTCAGTTTGTGCAGAGGCCGTATGTCCCACCTCTCTGCAACTTTTTCACTAGGCACAAGTACAGGACTGAAGGCAACAACTCTCCTCTTTCACTCCTAAAGGTGACTAACCAAGAAGTCCCCTGGCTAAGGAATCAAGCCAGCTCTGAAGTTAATTTGAACTTGTTTTTCTAGCAGTCCACAAGCTCAGATGCCTGAAGCTCAATTCCTAAAGGCTTCTACAAGAATAACAAGCATTAAGGCTAAGTTGCATCTGGAAAAACACTCAGCCTAGATTTACATCTCCAGATGGCACTAGAAGAAGTCATGGAGGAGTAGGAACTTTCCACAGAGACCTGGTAGAGAACAGGGAAGTGTGCAGTCTTAAAAGCTGCCTGAGGCCAGCTAGTCCAGGGGAAATTCAGTTCCAAGCCAGGTTGGGGCTGGCCTGGCCTCTCCTACCTGTGAAACGAAGCAGGGTTTAGGCCAATGCACATGTTCAGAGCACATTCCTCTGCGACAGCTGATGCTTATAGCCAGCACAGATCAGACAAGAGAGTGTACATGGCTACTGAAGCTACTGTACTATCTGCAAAAAAAAACCTGTGGTTTGGGCCACACAGGTACATCTGTCTGCTGGCTGAAGGGGAGGTCTGATGTGCCAGGGCAGGTGTCCGTGCAGGTGAGGTGGAAGATGGGCAGGATGAACACTCCTGAAGCTGCACCCTCTCCTCGGGGCTCTCAGCTGCTGGACAGAACACAAGCCTTGTGCAACTCCTGCCCTTTGCAATGCCCTGGGGACACGTCTGCGGCATAAGGCACCAGTGGACAGGATTTCTGCCAAAGGAGGAGCTGGCACACATGGGAATGATGCAGTCAATTTAATTGAGCTGCCTGGCTCAGTCATAAAGGCAGCCTTCCTGATTCCCATCCTTTCCCCAAAACACTCACCCTCAGCCTCTGATGGCATTCAGATTTGCTTCCCCATTGCTGCCTGAGTGGGGCCATCACAATGTGGAAGTTGTTCAAAAGCCTCCTTAGCTCCCCACCGAGACCCCATCCTTTTGTGCCGAGAGGCGGCTGGAGCCACAGTCAAGTCACATCCCACCACCCTCCAACAATGAGCCAGTGCTGAGGGGCAGCCAGACACAGGACACAGTTTGACTGACAGGGGACTCCGGTGGGCACAGACTGACACCACAAACATGACACGAATGCCCATCTAACCGTTTAACCGGCTTGTCGTCCAGCAGATAACTGCCTAGCACTGACCCTTTCTTCAACAGGGTTTTTTTGCTCTGAGGCGCCTGGAAGTTGAAAAGAAAAGGGATGAAGAACACAGTTAGGAGGCAAGAACCTGGCCAGTCCCAGATTACTCGTCGCTTCTGTGAGCACTTTGAGAGGAGGACTAGAGTCCTTCCAGCCCCACGACATGCAGTGCTGCCACCCAACCTGAGACTTTGAACGGAGGCGAGCAGAGGGCTTGCTCTTTCTCATGCAAGAAGGTACCACTGATGCTGCTTTCCTCTTTGCCACAAAATACAACAAAAATGATGGTACTCAAAACCGTAGACCTTCTCAAGACAACCAGAGATATCTTTTCTATAGCTTGTCCTCCAGGTGCAGCTGAACCTCCTTCCCCATCTGCCCTTTTCTTATGCTGACAGCTTGTGGGAGACATCAGTTGCCCCTTCTCCAGAAGACACAGCTACCCCCCACCTCAGGGACTCACCCTTAGCTGTGCAGGCACCACAGGATCAGCCTGCACACACATATAGAAAGGAGATGGCTGTGGCGGGGCAGCGCGCACGGCCTGCCTCACACATGTACACGGCTCTGCCGGGGCAGCGCGCACGGCCTGCCTCACGTGTGGCTCTGCTGGGGCAGCGTGCACGGCCTGCCTCACATGTGGCTCTGCCGGGGCAGCGCGCACGGCCTGCCTCACGTGTGGCTCTGCTGGGGCAGCGTGCACGGCCTGCCTCACATGTGGCTCTGCCGGGGCAGCGCGCACGGCCTGCCTCACGTGTGTGGCTCTCCATGCTTTCTTCCTCTTGACCTCCCAGCCTACCACACTCACTATGGCAGCCAGCATTTACCAGCTCCCCAGAGAAGAAGGAATCAGAACAGTTCTGCTCGCAATGCTCCTGCCCCAGATAAAGCAGCTTGGTCATCCCCAGCAGAGCCCAAGATCAGCAGTTTGCCCGAGAACCATACAGGAAAGCCTGGAGCAGAGGGGGGATGCACTTCAGCTATCCCAAACACTGCGCTAAAGCCTAACCTCTCTGCCTCGAACAGCCAGCCTAACTTTTCTGTCCTCATGAAATAAGATGCAACGTGGTACCACCCTAGCTCTGTAAATGCACAGATTTCCAACACGTCCTCACAAGTTATTTCTGGGGGTAAAGATGGAGGAAGAAGAGCAGTCTGCAGCCTGGCCAGATCAGTTTTGAGCTCACTGAACACCTGCAGACAGCTCCTGACAGGTCATCCTTGGTGCTGCCCACAGCCCAAGGGAGGACTACGAAGATACTCCTTCAATAAAATAAGTCTGGAGGTTAACAGGCAAACAAATAAAAAGCTGCTCCATGGGACAGAACTCCCAGAAAACCTTTACTACAGTGGAATACAACAGGAGATACTCTGGACTCCATAGAGCACCTCACCCAAACAGTGAAGAAAAAAGTAAAAGAAAAAAAGTTAAAAAAACCACACACCATTGTATGTAAAACTGATGTTTAGGAGTAGCAATCCAGCATGGAGAGCCATCTCTCAGCAATTTAATTTCCAGAGCAAGGGAAAAGGAAGAGGTTTAAAACAAACAAGGAAACTCGCAGCGAATCGAGCCCACACACCTCAAGTGTCCTACAGCCAACACACACAGGCCTTGCTGGGTGCACTTGGTGCTGCCTGGCTCTGGGAGGCTCACAACTGCGCAGCATACATCTCCCAAGCCAAAGGACCCTCAGGTCTGCAGTGACCCACCTGCCAGCACTGCTATTAGGCTGTGGCTCAGCCAACAAACAGTTCTACTGTGGGAATAGAGGAGAAAGCTTTTGGGGTTTGAGCTGGGAACAGCAGGTTCAGTCAAGGGCACTCTCTAGACACATGGGAACAAGGAAGTTGTATTACAGCTCACTGGAGGCTCAGCTGAGTCACAACCTTCAGGCCATCTGCTACTGCATTGCCCTACTCGGAGAGGAAACACAGCCTGCAGAGTACATACCTGGAGAAGAAAGAAGAAACAACCAGGTGCATTTGCCCATTGGTTCTGCCATGCTTTATTGGCTTGCCAGGTTTATGTAACATTTGGCTTCTCATAGGGGTGGCAAAGGGACAGATGCAACATTGCAGCTGTACAACACACAAGGCCAAGGGTTCCACAGTGACAGTGTATATACAGGCGTTTCCGATGGGAAATAAAATAAAAGCATCTCCTGGTTTGTCAACAAAATGCAAATACATGTCCAGTGTAGTCAAAGTCCCCAGACACCCCACACAGGGAATGGACACGAAGCTGGTTCACTCAGGATCAGACCTCAGCACACAGCATGCAAATGTAACACAGCCAGATGGGTCACGGGCACCAAAGGATCCTGCAGCTCGGGGATCTAAAGGGCACCTGCAGGCTTGATGCTGCCTGCGATGTGGCCACCAGAAGAAAATGTGTTGTACAGCTCTGGGGGGCCAGGCCTGCACATCCTGGCAAGGCCAGAAACTCTTACAAAGAGTAACGGATTAAACCAGGCACTGGGAAGTGCAAAGGAACAGTGGCTGGGTTGCCATCACTCACACACAGACCAACGCTCCCTCTAACCAGTTTAATGTCTTTACTATGAAAGGGCCCTTGTTCATCACACGTTCATTTCACAGAAATAACACAATCCTTCCCAGCACTGGCAGAGGGTAGTAAGGACATACATGGTTTTCCAGGCTAAAAAGAAATCTATACTCTCTGCTGGGCAGCGTGCCACACAGTAGGAACCCACAGCAGAAGGCTGGACTACGTTTTTTGCTGTGCAAGACATTATCATCTCCTGTCTCTCCTCCCATGGGACAGGCTGGAAGGCAGATTTTCTGCTGGTGCTAGATGACAGCAGCACCTCTGCAATCCCTTGGAGCCCTGCTTTCCTGCAGACTAAAATGAGAGTGGCTCAGGTTGTCAAGGGAATATATATATATATATGTATATATTCCAGCACAGGTTTGATCAGCCCAGCACGACCCAGCCTGGCCACGCTGGCTGGTAGCTGGAATTCAGTCTGCTGCTCCTGCCTCCTGCCTGCCCAGGGAGGAGAAGGGCAAAAGCAGTTCCTCTGCCATGACTATCTCTCTCAAGTCTATCTGTAGCTGTCCTAGCAGGGGAGAAGACAGGAGAGGACAGCAGAGGTGTCCCAGCTTTGCACCCAGTCAGGTACCTGCCCGAACTGCAATGCCCACAGAGCTGTGAGTCCAGCCACAAGAACCCAGAAGTTGCTGTAGCTCTACACAAAGAAAGAAGAGAAAGCACCATTTTATTTGGGTATTTGCACTGAACTCTGCCACAAGGTGAAGCACTAAGCTCTCTCTCTCATACACACACACACACACGTGCATGCACACAAAATACACATCTTTAAAAACATCTCCCTTCAGATTTCAGAAGCACACACGCAGGCACACACACCTCCCCTCCTTATGACAGTTATGACATTTTTCTCCTGAGTAGAAGGCAGCTGTGCAGGGCCTCCCCACAGCAAGTGCCCCTCAAAAGGCTAATGGGTGACTCCCACCCACCCTGGTCCTGGCCCCAGACCCGCTTTCTTCTTCTTCCTTCACACACCGGCCACGAAGGACATGTCTCCTGTGGCCTGCCACTCATCACTGCCAGAAAGCTGCTTCCAGACCTTCAAGTGGAGCATGGTGCCTGAGCAGGGAAAGCAACATGGGAGCAGGGATGGCTACCAACAAGGGCACAGAGCAGCCTTCACAGTGACACACGGGCACACAAAGACTTTTTTTTCGTGGAAAAAAAATTAAAAATAGATCACATGCCCATACTTATCTTGGAGACTGGGAAAGGCTAGCCATGGAGTTGACTGCCCCAGACATTCCCTAGGGCCAACAACTGCTCATATTCCCAGCAGCTTCCCCACTTCCTCCTAATCCTAATCCTTTGATACGAGGCTCAAAGTTGCATCTCTACCAGAGCAGAGTTTGCAGGAACGGGGCAGCTGGCCCAAAGAGAACATCTGCAAACATCTGGCCACGAACTCAAGCAGTCAGAGACGAACTCTAAAACCTTCTCATTGCCTCGCCACGTCCGGCGCAGCCAGCAGCGGATCTGGGAATCCATCTTCTTGCTCACCACGCAGCTGCCACCTTCACCACCCTCCCCACACGTGCTCAGGGCTTGCACAAGGCACAAGCCCCACGTGCGCAGCAGGAAGCCCCGCAGAGGGCCACGTTGCGGTCCCAGGCCAAGTGCCTTGGTTTGAACTCGGGCCGTGGAGAAAGCAAACAGCAGAGCTTCTCTCCAGCTCTGGCAGGGGGCTGTGAAGTCTCTACTCATGTACCACACCAGGCCTCGTGAGCTCAGGTCATTGTCCCCCGTGGAAGTGACAGGCCCCCGCATGGTGACAGCAATAGCAGCAGATGAAAGGAGGGTGCTTAGGAATTAGGATTTTCTTTCTTAGACTAACCAGCTTCTTGGCTTCAAAAGTGTCTCGCTCATCTCGGAGTTTCTTGTTCATCTCTCTGCTCCAAAGAAAGACAAAAGAGAGAGACAAAGAAGCATTCACTGAAAATGAAGTAAAGACCAGCATTCAAAAGCTAGGGAGGAGAGGGAGATTGGGACACAGATGAAGATGCTCTTTACTCCAGACAGCTTGGGACTTCCATGTGTCCCAACACAGTTAATAGGCTTCACACAGTCCCCTTAGCCAGCAAGAAAAACTAAATCTATCCAGTGGAGGGATTAGTGGATGCAATAACACAGCCTGTGCTCTGCTGGAGCTGATCAGAACGCACAATATTGTCTGTTTGCCCTAGCAAAACAGGCAGTGTGTGAACGCTGCTTGAATACACTCCTGGAGCTTTCTATGGGGAGAATGAGCAAAGCGCTGAAACCTCAGCATTGCAGCTGAGCCAGCAAATCAGCTTAGCAAGACAGAGACCATCAGGAATGAAGGACAATTCCCAATCCCACTCCCAGACAAGCCATTGACTTTGGCAGCCACACTCGCAAAAGCAAGAGGGATTTGAATCTCTCTGTTACACACCAAGGGCCCCATATCTCCCACTATCCCTTTTCTTACCTGAGGAGATCCAGCTGTCGCAGGAGGCTCTGTTTCTCCTTCTGCATGTTCTTGGAGACTCTAAACACATCCCTGGGTAAAGGAAATTTTAAAAGTGGAAGTCAATGGGGCAAGACATACAAAGCTCCCTTTCTTGGGGACATTCATGGTATTTGTAAAGAAGCAACCTTTACTAGGATTTTTCAATGGAAGAGGCACAACCAGGAAAGTCAGCTCTCCTTCTTTGTGAAGGTAGGGAACCCATTTTCCCCTTTTTACCCTCCAGTTTCCTCAGCTGCTAGACTTGGGAAGAACTGAAACATTGCATTGAAAAGCAGTTGGATAAGATAAAGCTCCAAAACAGAAACACAAGTGATAACCATAAGATCTGTAGGAACATGGCAGAGGTGATGACGAAATGGAAAATATAGTGAGGAGAAGCCTCCTTTAGACTGAGGAACAATTGTACTTTTAATAGCAGTTTTGTAGTCAAATATCGGTGAACAAATTCATCTCCCACTATAGGAAGTGGAGAGACAGCAGTGCAACTACCAGTTTAGACTTACAAGATCATAGGAGCTACTTCTCTTCCTCAAGAAGAGGCAGGCAAACCCCTGACAGGACGAAAGCTTCTAATTAGAGACCTTGTTCTTTAACTATTGCACATCCTTCCTCTTTGCCTGAGTCCCTGCCCAGACAACCCACCCTCCTACTAGTCCTCACCTATCCTTCTGCTCCTGTTCGATCTGGGCCTCTTTCCGGAGCTTCTGTAATTGCCCCTTCGCCACCTCCAGCTCCCACTTGCTTTTCTCCAGCTCCTCCAGAAGGTTTTCATTCAGATGCCGGAGTCTTTCATTCTGCACCCGGGTCTGCAGCTGCTCCGAGTTCAGAGATTGTAGCTGATGTTCCAGCTGCAAGGGGAGAGGAGGAAGAAGATGACAGGTTAAATACAGAGAAGGAGGAATATGTGCTACAGCTGTGATTGAGGAAAAAATAATAATAATAAAAGCACACAGGCTGAAAGATGTAAACAATGAGGCAGATGGGAGGTAAAGACAACTTAGATCTACAAGATTACCAGTGGTGTCAAGAAGGTGAACAGGAAGCAACTATTTTTTTCATCGGTGCCAGCACTGGGGAGCAAGCAGTGCAATTCGCCAAGCATAGCTAAGGAAGCACTTCAGGCAGCATGAGGAACTTGTTGCTGTCAGGCTTTATGGAGATCAGAGTTCAAATCTGGGTGAAAGAAGGACTAGAAAAAAATTAGGCAGGAGGGAGCAGAAGTGTATTTATAAGAAGGTTTTAACACAGATGTTGAGATTCAGCTTCCGATTTAGGGAATTCCTAAACCTGTGGTAGGTGAAAGGTGGATGTACTGAATGAAGTGTAATGGGAATGTCACACTACATAGGTCCTACTGTAAACATTGACAAATGGAAAGTCAAGCAAGCAGGTGGCCTTCACTCTAATTTAAGCTCCTGTTGGAGATAGGACCCTGGGCTGGAGGGACCTTCACTTTGCCCCAGTGTGTTGTTTTTATAGCACTGGGGACAGTTTCACTCTAGACTGTGCAACAGGACATCAGCACAACTAACAAACCTGACTTGGGAGTTCAAATTCCTGCATTTAGCCAGTGACTTGATTCATCACAATCTAAGACCTGGCTGGTGTAGCTTGGAAAAGAGTCAGGACAGAGACAAAGCAGTCAGGCACACTCATTGCTGGGAGGCCGGTACTGACACTTGAGTGCTTTCAACCACCCCGTGGACACTAAAGTCCAGACTCAGATAACCAGCAACACCATCCCACAGCACTTAGGTTTTCAGTAAGCCTGGGGACATACATTCAGGAAAACTCCTGCCCCTCTCCAAGAAGTCTCTATTATGCAAAACTCATCCCATTTTATGTTCCATGCAATCTCAAATGATACCATGCAACATTGTGCTCACAATACTAGACTTTCACCACAAGAGGGACCTGATTATCCACATAATATGGTACAAACATCAGAGTTAAAAGCACTAGAAATGCCCATTTTGGTCCAAAGAAGGATTCATCTAGCTCAGTATGCCTCAGTATGCCATTACTTACTAGAGTCCACTCCCCTCAAACATCCCAGAATTTGCAGTCTTTGGATTAGGGATGTTATCCTTTTCTATTCCTCCTTTTTGTACCTGTTTATGAGCCTATTGCCCATTAGTCTGACTTTTTAAACTACTGATACCATATGACTCCACAATCTTCTATAGGAACAAATTCTAGAAGTTCACTAGTCCCTTGTAAAATAAGTACTTTCTTTTAACTTCGTGTTGGCCTTCTCAAGTCTCCTCTTGCTCTGCTGGTGCAGGACTTGGTGGATAACAATTCCACATACCCTTTATCCACCACCTTCCCAATACCGTAAAACTTGGCTACACCCTCCCTCAGTCTCCTCCTCTCCGAAATGAAGAGCCTAAGCTTTTCTATTCTCTGCTCATAAGACAGATGCTCCATCTCCTTAATCGTTTTAGTTCTCTGTACCTTCTCATCTTAAGCAGGACACAGTGGAGTTAAAGGAAACCAGAGCTGCACAAGCACTTGAAAAATGAGCACACTGAGGCTGTGGGTAGTAGGAAAACATCCTCAATTTTATTCTCAGTATCTTTCCTGATAGCACCCAAAGCTCTGCTGGCTTTTCTGGCTCCTGCACACTGTGCTGGTGTCTTGAGAGAACTGATGTTTCATTCTCATCACAGCTGGGTGCCTACCTGGGAATTCCCAAGTTGCCTGCATCTTTCAGGTACCTCCCATGGCTTATTTCTCCAGGAGTCATGCCTGGCTTTTTCAGAGGAAGAGACAGACACTAATACACCCATACAAATACACATACCAGGGACGGCAGGTCAAAGGGAAGTTCATGCTTTGATCTCTTTGGTGACTGTAATCAGGACACCATGGGATGCTGAAATGCAAGTGTACAGCACATACAGCTCCAACTGTCAGAGAACTGTTAGGCTGTTTTATTTAATCTAGATGCAGTATTTTTTTTTACCCTGGGTTATTCTGGATTTGCCAGAAAACACAAGCTAGGAAGATTTGGCCCTTCATGTCCATATGTAGTTTTATTATATGCTATGGTAGGCTCCAAACTCACAACTTCTAAATCTTCACCCAGTCTTCCTTGCCAAATAAAGTTATTGACCAGCTACTGGGAGGAGTACAAGAAAAAACAAAACAGATAAGAAAATGAGTGTGTGGGGGGGAAACATTCACGGGCAGCCATTAGAGCTGAAGACAAACCAATCACTCCAACGCCTTCAGAGACAGGCAGAGAACCGGGCTAGCCAGCACCTGCCCTCAGCAGAAAAGAGCCCTCCACAGTCAGAAAACATGCAGCAGAAAGACTCAGGAAGGTGGCATGCTCTTTAGAAACGCTTTGGGCCCTGTTACCTTCTTCTGGCGATAGAGGATTTTCTCTAACTCCTGCTCTTTGCTACGCAGTTCCTTCTGAAGCAGGTTACTTCTGTCATGCCTCAGGGTTTCCTGCAGAAGTAAATAAATGTGGCTACTCATACAACCCAGGGTGGTAAGAGCTGTTGCTTGTCCAATAAACCACTAGCCATCTTTTGGACCAGAAAACATTTGAGCACCCTCCAGCCAAGAGAGATGAGGTACCTGGCCAATTAGCCTCTCCCGTTCTGCTTTGATCTGTTGCTCCATTTCTTCATAAAGGCACCTGACTTCTCGGTCATGGTCTGTCTCCTTCCTGCAAAAGGAAAGGAGAACACACATCGGGGAGAGAAGGAGAATGCAGAAAGGAAACAGGAGAGGTAAGTGGAGAAAGGTTCCTACTAACAGCTGATTGCAAGGTAAGGACAAAAGAGTGTGGCAATGTCAAAAGCGTAGTGGAACGGGATTTTAGCTGGACCAAGGGTTACTGCATTAACTAGTAGCAAGTGGTCACGATGTTCTCCTTACCGCTTCAGTGCCTGCTCCATAGACTCTTTCTCGTGATGTGCCTCCCTGATGTATGCTGAAACACGCAACAGAAACTCCTCAAAACTGGACAAAAGCTCTGGACGCTCCTTTCGCAGCCGGGCCCAGAGCTCCCGAACCTCACTTGGACTGCAGCAAGTACACAACAGAGAAGGAAAGCAAATGAGTTTCTGTGTCATCATATGGATGGTTATTCCAACTCCCATATGCATTCGGTGACAGAGGGACTGCCTTTCTCTATGACCTTCTGCATTGCACCACTGCAAGCAAAGAGGGAGGGAAGGCAGGGGCTGAGTGATGAGAGCAAGATCTACTGCCACTGCTGGTTAGCAAAATATTAAAATAGAGAAAGTAATCTAAGAGAGAAAAGTCAACTGTGAAGCAAACGTGGAATTATTATTTTTCAAGTATTCAGTAGCAATAATACATTTGGTGTGTAAACCAAGATTTAAAGATGAGAACATCCAGCAAATTTGTTGTGAGCTGTGATCAGGCAGCAAACTATTATAAACCAAGGATTTTAGCACACATCACCTAGGTGTAGTCCTCACACCAGAAGTGTACTGGCGAACCTTAATGCCCTTGTTTAAAAAAAAAAAAAGGAAAAGAAAAAAGAGAAAGAAGAAGAAATTAACATTTGTGGAAAGTGAGCAACAAAAGCAGAAGCAGCAAATTTCCCAAGGTGTCACCTCAAGTATGGAAACCCAAAGCCCTGCCTTCCAGAGCCTGGAATAACCATTACACTGTTCTGGCATCTAATTTATTACAACTAGAACACAGCACTTGGAAACATACCCCTTCCCATAGAGTCTGCTAAGCCAACAGGGACTGAGACAACCCTCTAAAGTCCTCTCAAAGGCTTTGGGGTAGATTTTGTTTGTTCTTAACTCATAAGACACTTTTATGAACTGCCATTAAATGTACAAAATAATTACACTCATAGACATTATTTGGGCAGAGATTTTTCTTTGTGTACGTATTTTTCTCCCCTAATATTCTTTAGGCAAAAACAAAACCACACCAAGTCTCTGATATCCTCCACCACCATCACAAGATATTCTTCACTTTTCCTCCCTACAGTTGAAAGCTACTAGCACTTCATCAAAATCTCATTCTCTAGGTAACCGAAAATATCCAGTTCCACTTATAAACAAAACCATTCTTCTTCAGCAAAAGCAAGGAAGACAGACCAGCTCTCTACATCACCCCCAATTAGTTTCTGCTTTGTGTTAATTCCTTACAAGAGCTGGTTTGGCCCAAAAGCTTCACATGAAATAGCTACTGAACCCATTGCACAAAAATGCAAGTAAGTGGTCAAAATAATCATCCCACTTAGGATTTGATGCTTCTCAGAGCAAAGTTATTAACAGCAGTGACTATTTATCCAGGACAGTACTACAGGCTCTCACGGTGTCACTGCATTACGTGAGGCATATCATCCTGCACAAGTTTCCTTAACAGGAGGAACTGCTCAGCCTTAGCAGACACCTGCAGGTGTGTGTATGCGAATGAAGGAAAACTCTGTGTGGGGACAACGCAGCGCCGCCAGCAGCAAGTCCCTGCGCTTGCAGCTCTCAGCAGCAGCCCCTACGCGGGACAGGCTGCTCCTAGCGAACTGCCAACGCTGCTGCACTACGATGCCTGCAAGACAGGGCTGCTGCAGTGCTGCTGGGCCGCCCACGCAAATTTCAAGGCTCAGGTGAGCATCCCTTGCCCAGCTTGGCCTCTCACCTTCCTCAAAACCAACCCATTCCCAAGAGCTTGAGCACAGCTCTTTCCAGCAGACTCTTAGAACTAAGATTGTCTGAACATATGTGAACAATCACACTTCGTTTTGGAAGCGAGAGCACACTTGTCCTCCTCACCTTAGCTAACCCTCACATACTTGTCTTAGTTTGCTGTGTGCAGATGTGTTTCTATGTCACCAACTGTTATATATTACAGCTGTAATATGAATTTGCAATTTGGGAAGCTCTTTGAGAAAAGTACTGAATGTTACTGAGCATAAAAGAACTCAAGTCTACAAGACAAAAAGCCCAAACTGCCTCAGACAACAAGCAGCTCTGTCCCACCTCCTTCGTTGTTACTAGTAGCCTGAAGTTATGATATTGAAAGATCAAGACAGGGTAGAAGTGAAAGTATGAGGTTCCCCAGCTTACTCATCAAACACTTGGGCTGCTCCAAGCTGCTCCATCATGGTACAGAATCGCTTCTCTTCATCATCTACCTGGTCCAAATCATCTGACCAGCCCGACTCAAAGGTCTCTTCGTGTCTGGAGTGATCTGTGCTCCCACCTCCTTGACACAATTCAATCCCTATTAACTTCCCTGGTGAGAGGAGAAGGAAAGAATTAAAACAAAATAAAAAAGGAAAGAAAGTCAATTTGGACATCATTTAAGTCCATGCTATGTAAATGGCAACCTGACATGGCTCCACGAGAAGCAGCCTGCATGCTGTCACTACAGAACACAGCTCGGGCAGTGAAGAGCCTCTGTTCTGACGTCCTGTCAGCTTCCAGTCTGCAGCACTGGGGCTGGAACAGGCTTCCAGCCTGACCACGGGCTCCTCCAGCAGCGCTCACCCCCGCACCGCCCCGATGCACTGCTCGTGGCCTTGGGGTCTGAGCTCGTGAGACATCCGGCACCAGCTCGCTCCACTCCAGGGAAGGGCACTGGGGTCCGCTTGCCAGTAGTCCCTGATCAAGGGCCACAAGGTTCCCCTAGGATTGCAAGCCAGACACAGAATAACTCTGTGCCTGTTTCCCCAGCTTAGAAAAAAAAATGTGGTGGTGGGGATAGATAATCACCCTTCCCTTCTCATGCTCCACATCTCTTCTGATTCAAGTGCTCCAGGACAAGGGCTGCCTCTTGCTAGGAATGTGAGCAGTGTCTGAACAAAAGGCAGCTCATCTCTGAACACCCCTCCCTCCCCATCCCACGTAAGGACAGATTCCAGCTATCCAGATCCTGTTTCATGCTGAGATACTAATGCCATGAGAACTTCATGCTGTTCAAGGAATGAGACAAATATTGGTACTGGGGGACAAATTCTGCTTAAAGAAACAGAGCAAGCAATCCTCTCCAGGAGCCAGCACTAGTCTGGTATACAGAGACCAGATCTTCATTGAGAACTACCCTTACTTTCTAAAATAAATCTGCTTGCTCCGTAAGGCAGAGGTGACATCCAAGCCACAGGGCCAGGCGCCAAGGACTTTCAGAACACGGATGAGAACATGAAGCTGCTCTTAGAGGAAAAAGTCCAAAATCTGTGTACTTCAAATCACTTAACTCCACCACTCCTGGCTCCAAACTAAATCTCATAACCACATTCCCTCTCCTATCTGCATATGAAAGTCATCTGTAAAAAAAGAATGCAGAGGTTTAGTTCACGTGAGCTCCCTCTCCTATCTGCATATGAAACTCTGCATATGAAAGTCATCTGTAAAAGAAGAATGCAGAGGTTTAGTTCACGTGAGCTCCTTTTTCCCTCCTCATCTTTCTTCTGTTTGTGCGCTGACACATGCAGGTTGCTTGGATTTGCAATGGATTTCTCTTGATACAGGGAGTAATGCAACGGGATGGAGGACCTGGAACCTTCTCTCTCGCTCTCTTAACTGTGTACTGTTAAAAAAAAGTTGCAACATAGACAGACAGGCCTTACTTCTGTTTAAAATTTGAAGGCTTGGACAATTAATTAAGGACACGGGTTTGGATTAGCCATTTAGAACATGTTTTAAAGATTGAGTTATCTTTACTCTTCTACAGCTGGGTAAACTGAGGTAGAGAATGATCTGAAAATTGGTTTGACATCCCAGAAGGATCTCAGAAATTGCTTTGAACAGTAATATGCCAGGGAAAACTTGTGAGTTAGAGGCAAAGCCTGAAAAGGATTCTGGAAAGCCAGACAAAAAGGGTGACTGTAAAGAAAAGAAGGGCAGAAATTGTTTTGTCTAGACTGAAGTAAATCCCATGGAGTTAGGCTGCCAACACAGCCTGACAACTTGTTCCACTTCAGGCTGAGTCAGAATGGTCAGCCAGGACGACTGGCACAAAGAGGAATCCTGTCTGCCTGCAGCAGCACTGAGGCAGGTGCTCTTACGATGCCTGTCCATGACTATGGCAAACATCTCAAACAACATTTGTTTGAGTCACAGTGTAGAAGGCCCAGGAGATGCCAAGGTGCCCAAATGGCCCCCGTTTACCTTCCGCACAGAGCAGGGTGGAAAAGCCCATGCTGTCAAGATGACTCTTGTTTCTGAAGAAGCACCACACAACAAACCTTCACACCTGCAGCAGGTAGTAGAAACATGCATGCTGTGCATTTGCACATTCCCAGAATAAACTGGCCTAAGATAAGGATTTCTACGTTTACTCTGAGGAAATCTTTATAAGCTTCTCCTTTCAGAGGTGGCTGTTTCTGGTTATTCAAACTGAAGCACCAAAAAGAAAGACGTGGTTGGGAGACAGCCCTCAGCAGCCTGAGCAATTGGGACGTGGCAACTCAAGAGCCTCCTTAACCGTTTCTAAGAATCCTAGACCATGTACGTCCATTTGCTACACTCTGATCCAGACGCCAGTAATGACTCCACGGGTCCAAGAAGCTCGACTAAGGAAGGGGCAGGAGGCACAAGTTTCCTGAGAGCTTCACATAGACAGGCTTTTCCCTACTTCTGTTTCCGAACAGTTCTTACCTAGTCCCATGCTGAACTCCACAGGCGTCAGGTATCCGTTATTGTTCTGTTCCAAGCTATCAAAAACAGTCTCCAGCTGCTCAGGCGTAAGGGGGAGCTCGTTCTGGAGCCGCTAGAAAGACCGAAGAAGGGAGATGAAGGCACAACTCAAGTCTTCCATGTGATTCACTCTGCCCTCGCTTTCCCCGGCAAGGTGCCCTTATCCGGGTGCATCCGAGATGGAATGTGACAGCCTACCAGGACAGCTGAGTCACGGCACAAGCGCCCGTTGGGGGCCCTGACACGGCAATGCTTCCCATTACCGGCTGATTCAACCAGCACTGCACAGGGAGCTCCCCCAGCGCAGAGCGGCTGCCACCCGCTCACGGCGCTGAGCGGGGGCCCGCAAGGCGCCCGGGCGCCGCTCGGCCTGAGGCGGTCACCGCCTGTCTGCAGGATCGTATCATTATTCCCAACATACAGAGAAGGAGCAGGCAAATTTCCCTTGCAGTAAATGGGTATTTAGCATGAAGGGCTCCCCTACAGTGCTTCCATGTAACAAGTACAGCTAAAATACCACTACTGTCTAACACAGAGCTGTAGGTAAGGCTTAAAAAATATCTATTAGCATAAGTACACAGAATTAGGCATCACACAACCCAAAACAAAGCAAATCCGTGATTAATCCAGCTTTTACTTATTAAAGAGGCCCTGCCAAGTGATAATTACACATGGAGAGAAAGATTGGACAGAAGAAAGATAATTCATATGTAATCTTCCCAGTAAAGTAAGTTGTTAAAAAAGACACAAATAACTAGAGATTCTGTTGAAAAACAGATAATAAAAAAATACAGTTTCTTTGTTGTTGTGGATAGTTTTTCTGTTGGTAGTGGTTTCTTGTATTTTAACTAAACCACAGTGCCTACACTTCCAGATTTCCCATCCATCCTGCTGCATGCCTAATGTTTGTAGGGAGTATTGCAAAGATTGTGATGTTATGCATCCCTTAAAAATTTGCAATCGCAGTTTCCCTTGTCCGAAGAATTTGGGACAAATAAATAAATCGGAATTTTTGATTCCTAGCAGCTGGCTGTGGCAAAGTCCAGCTTCAGGAAATGAGATCACACAGAGCCTGTGCACATGCCCACGTTTGCCAAGGTGAAGACGTGCCAGTCTCAGGCTCCCCCTCTTCTGGCTCCCCTGACTGTACAAGTGCTTGGGAGGTGCTATAAGGGGAAAGAAGCTGTTAAAGCTGAATAGGGAAGGATTTTTACCTCACCTGCATGTCCACCTTGGTGATAAAGCCCTTCTCGTCCTTGTCACATAGCTGGAAGAGCTCCCTTGCCTTCTCGAGCATCTCCACCTGTACATCCTCCAGCTCACTCATTTGGCTGGAAGGAGAAGCACCGGGAGCCACCTCATCCTCCTCGTCCCCCTCTTCTCCTTCCCAGCGGCCATATCCCGGCAGTGCTCCCCTCTGGTTCTCCATCTTCTCAAAGTCTTTCCCCCCAGGGTGGAGGCAAACGGAAGAGCTGTGGGCAGGAAACAGAGAAATCCCCATCAAATATGTTCTTCCACCCCCATCCCACACATCACCCAGTTCCATGTGGTGTGAAAGGACAACGTTCAGCATCCATAGCCGTTACCGAGGAGTAGGGGGAGACAGACACTATGAGCAGAGGTTGCCCCAGAGGCGCAGTCCCTGCCGAACGGGGCGGATGTGAACCTGCCACAGAGCTGTAACCTGGCACACTGACGGGTCCAGACCACGCATCTAGCCAGGATGCTATTGCCACCACTCCTCCTCTGGCTCAGATCTATAGGGAAACTGGAAAATCCCACTGGCAAGAGCGAGCAACAGAGCAGAGAGCAGGAGGAATGTTTCTCCCAGCACACTCCCACCCAGGTCCCCCAGCTGACCTTCCACCTCTGACATTTTCCTGTTAACATTTCCCAAAGAGCAATTCCATCTCATCTTATTACAGCACAAAGAAAGGTCAGAAAATTCCTACACTGAGATATAAGCTGGGAAAAATTTAATAAGCTGGGCATTCCTTCTCCTCTTGCCTCCCAGCCTCTGTTTTGAAAGCTTATAAGCTGCCAACAGAATTTTAATCTGAAATGTTCACCTTTGAAGGAAGGAAACTACCCGATCATGAAGATACATCAGATGCCAAAGAAAATAATTCCCATTATTTACAAGTACCCAAAGCAAAAACGCTGGGAATGAGAGCCCCCCTCCAAGAACAGCACTGTGCCTGTAAAGACGAGTACAACATAACCCTACCCCAACCCACCTTCCGACTTACTGATCCAACATAACACCCTCCAGACAGCTTGTCTTCTGCAACAGCACCACTTTTCAAAGCCCTGCTGCACCGACTGCTCTAGGCTTCTCCTCCTGCGGATCCACGGTCTGCGGTGTGGGGCACAGTGAGCTGAGAGGCAAGCTGAGAGCAGATTTAAACAGTGTGACCCAAGGCGTGTGGTTTTTTTTTTTTTTTTAATCACCAGGAAATAAAAGCCAAGTACAGATGCCGCGATAACAGCCAAGTTAATTCTGTTTGCACTACTGGGGCACTAGAAGGATAGAGAACATCATGGCCGAAAAGAATGTCACAAGCATGAAACGTATGAAACTAATACAAAAGGAGAAGGCAATTATGTACCGTGATATTTGACTCTGTTCATTACAGCTGTCTGGTGAGCAAGAGGGTGGTTCTGCTCCAGAGAACAACTAGATTGCTTCACTCCCCCTTTTCAAAGGAGTATTTTTTCCATGGCACCTCAGTTCAGCGTCACTTGAAGACTTGTTTATTTGAAACACTGCAGAGGACAATCTAGAAATTAGTACTCTATATTTGCCTTCTAGTCAGGTAGACATGCAAGGCAAGTCATGAGCACAGATCTAGGACTCAAGCTTTGTGGAATTCTAGGGGTTAAAGGGGAAAAGAAGGAAAGCAAATTCTTCATTTTTGTTTCAAAAGCCAGGGGAGCACACACAGGCAACATCTCCCCAGCTCCGCTGCAGCAATGAGTTGTACCAGGATGTTCTGTTCTCTTGGAGGCACATTACATCCCTACCTCTAGTATCTCCTTTTATCAAAAGCCCTGCTGTATTGCAGATCTAAAACATTAGCTGAGCTAAGAGCCTCTTCATTAGAGTTGCTGGGGGCCACGAATCTGAAAGGATTTGACTCAAGCAGGTAAAAGACCAAGCCCATTAATTCAACATTGAGCATCTCTTGTTCAGGCTGCTTGAAGCAGCTTGAAGCCAGATGCGACTCTCTCAAAGGCAGGATGACCTTGCAGAGAAATAAAGCTGCAAATAAGAGAGAGCCCAGCAAGCAAGATACAGTGCAGCTTTCAGATGGACTCCTCTCCCAAAGGCCTTTCCTTCTGTGCTCCCATTTGTAAGAACACGGTGTTTGTAAAGTACGGTATAAGCATGGGCCCCAGACAGGCCAGAAGAGCAGCTCAAGGGCAAAGGCTCAGCTTTGCAAGAGCCACATTTGTCTGAAACATGTGGAGGAGCCAGAGAAGACAGGTAAGGACAAACCTTCCCTCAGTGGCAGGTCACAAGCCAAGTCAGAGCATGTCACCTCCCTGTGACAGCTCCCAGGTTGCTCAAGCAGCTTGAAGACAGATGCACCTCTCTCAAAGGCAGGATGACCTTTCAGAGAAATAAAGCTGCAAATAAGATAGAGTCCAGCAAGCAAGATACAGTGCAGCTTTCAGATGGACTCCTCTCCCAAAGGCCTTTCCTTCTGTGCTCCCATTTGTAAGAACACGGTGTTTGTAAAGTACGGTATAAGCATGGGCCCCAGACAGGCCAGAAGAGCAGCTCAAGGGCAAAGGCTCAGCTTTGCAAGAGCCACATTTGTCTGAAACATGTGGAGGAGCCAGAGAAGACAGGTAAGGACAAACCTTCCCTCAGTGGCAGGTCACAAGCCAAGTCAGAGCATGTCACCTCCCTGTGACAGCTCCCAGGTTGCTACTGAAGTTTTGCAAGAGAAGACTGGCCAGGATTCATTTTTCCAGATCTCACATGGCAGAAGATGGTCATTGAGGCCATACCAGCTAAGCATTAATTTCCACAGCCAGACTGGTGTCAGGACCATATCTATACCTCAGGCTATTGATTTCCATTGCAAGAACATCCATTATGGGCACAGCAAAGTTTGTTTGGCCCAAAATCTCACCCTCTGCAGTGGCCATAAACAGCAGCTGACAGAAGAGCAACAGCAGGGGAAGCACAGAAAAGACTTCCCCAATGGACTCACTCCACTGGCCTCTACCACTTTCTTCTCTGGGAAATTCTGGGGCCAGAAGTGCCATGTGGTTCTTTCCTGAACAGATTTATCTTCCAAAACACTTTTCCAGTTTCTCTGAATCTGAGTAAAAATATTCACCGCCCCCATGAGCCCTGTGATGGGACCAAGAGCTGCAGATACAAATCATGTGTCTGCTAGAACTATACGGTATTGACAGAGCTTCACAGGATTATTCCAGTTTTCTGTGTGCCTGCTGCACAGTTTGAAACGCATCTGCCCCACAACAGAGCGCAGAGTCCCTGCATCAGACCAAACAAGTGCTCCCAGCACCTTCACACGCAGGAGCAGTGGCAGAGGACAGAGCTCATCTCCAAGGCACTGGCAGAGCTACCAATAGCATCTCCTGGGGCCCAGGAAGCAAAATCCGACCTGCATGTACATGGCAGTTTCCCAGTATTTACAGGACCCAGAAAGCAAATATGGGCCATCTCAGACAAAGTCCACAATTGGGAAATCAGCTATGAGGAAAGGTGCCCAGCACTGCCGCCTCGCATGCCCACACCAAGGTAACTCTGACCAGCACTACATCCAGGCCTATTTTAACCACCTGAGACATAAAGGTGTAGTTTGTCTTGTGCAAAGAAAGTCAGCCGGATCCTCTGGGCAAGGCACTTGTTGGGGAAATCACAAGACCTGAATTCTAGCCCTGACTCAGCTTGCCATATGGCCCCAGACAGATAAGTCCTGTCACCTGCCTATGCCAGCAGCATTGTCAGCTCCCCCAGCCGGGTTCTGATGTGTGCAGCAGCCGGCTGCTTCTTTTTTTTTTTTTTTTT